CTTCCCCTGCAGGAACCACAAGCCATTAGTTCCGCTGAAGGCTTCGCTTGCCTCGTTATTTATTTAGTTGTGCTTTATTCCCGTTATTCTTTCTATGCTGTGTTTTCATTCTTATTTTTCCCACAAGGCTTTTTCCCCAGGCGCAGCAGGACTCCAAGGAATGGGAGCATCAGTATTTAGCTTTTTTTTTTTTTTTTTTCCAGGCAGAGTTTTGGGAGCATCTGGCTCATCCCTGCCGTAGATCAGCTCCTGGAACTTTGGGCTCTCCACAATCACTGCCAGAATCCACAGCTGGCTCACAGGTCCTGTTTTCCATGTCCCACTGCTCTGGTCCAAAGAGAGGGAAAAAACAAATCCCAAAAAACAACAGAAAGCTGGGAATCCTTCAGCCTTCCCTGTGCAGGTTGTGGTGGTGACCGCCGGCACTGTCCTGGGTTTGTAGGGACACAGSTGACACCGCTGCCAGGGAAAGGCAATTTCTTCTGAAAAACCATCATGAGGCCCTAAAAAAACCCACCAAACTTGTGGCAATGCCCCACTGAACTGATATGGTCCTGCCCCTGCCCCCAGATGGTTTATCAGCTTCAGCAGAGTTTGTGACCTGCAGAGTGATAAGGCCCGGAAATCCTGATACCAACTTGCTCTAAAAACCAGAATTTCTGTGAGCAGAAAACCAGCATTTTCCTCTATTTTCTCTCATTCCTCTGGACCACAGGAGCTAGAGATGTCCCAGCTCTTTGCCATAAAACCCCAAACCCTAGCTGGCCTTTGCCATAAAAATAAAACAAACCCTAATTGACCTTTGCAGGGAATTGAGGATTTTCAAGAGGCTGTGTTTCCCAGCCTCTTGAATTTTCCTGGGCTGGTYGCTCGGATCTCCTAAAGTTTGGCAGTAGCACACTTGGGTCACTCTCTAAATTAGCTGGTTTTCTATGGAAGTTATTTTTATCCATCAGTGTGGTCCCACTAGGAAACAATTTACTAATGCCTGTCATCTGTCCAAAGCAAACACGTTCCCTAGTACGGGAATCACGTAGAATAGCACAGAATTTGTTTCCTCTTTTATTCTTTCAAGCAACAATACCATCCAAAATAGCTCCCGAGTTGTTTGTTGAAAAAATAACAGATTTTTCTTTCTGACAACTTTCCCCCCCCCGCCAGCTGAAGATAACCAATGTTGGTGCAGGAGAGATTTCTGGGACGCTCTGGAAGCAGGACAGTTAATTCCTCGTGCATTTGTTTATGTTTGGAGGAGGGGCTGCTTTGTGGGATGGGTTGGAAGGAGATGGATCCTGGCTTTGGATGGTTTGGGATTCCCACTTTGGCTCTGAATCCCCCTCTCAGGGATCCCTGCTCAGCACAGGCTGCACCTGCTCCACCCCTGCCCTGCTCCAGCCATTCCTTCTCTGCCCTTTGCCAATCCCAAACATTCCTTTGGGCTTTTCCAATCACTTTGCATTTACCCTCCACCACTGTTTGCTCTGCTCTCACTTTACAACGCGGTGTAAAGGTCGGAGAATGCCCTACTCCAGCTAAACCTGCATTGGACGAGCCATGGGATGGCATCACTTTTGCTCCTCTGGGCTGTTCCTCCTCATGGGGGTGGCCCTGGCACCATGTCCTGRATTAACCCCAGCCCTACAGAGCCTCTGGCTCCCTCCTGGAGGATGGGGGAGAGCACTGGGATGGTAAAAATGACAAAATTTGTGGCTGAGGAAAACCCAACATGGAATTATTTTCCTGCTGATGGTGCACGATGGGGATGGGGACAGTCCAGCCAGGATGGGGTGAGCGTGTGTTGGTGTCAGGGTGGGGAAGGTGGATGAGCTCAGCAGAAAACAGAGGAAATCTGTGGCTTCCAGGGAAATTCCATCCCCTGGGGATGAGCTGAGCAGAGGAAGGTTGTGACTCAAAGGGAAGCACAGAGTTTAACCGGAACCAGACTGATCCAGGAGCATTCTGACACGAGTGGGGACTGAGGAAAAACCATGGCAGGAGCAGAAACAAAGCCCACAAAGGGCTGTCCCTGGCACAGCACTGGAGAAATCCAGGAGATCCCAGCAAGGACAGCTTGGAGCAGGGCTGGGGAAGTTCAGCCCTCCCTGCACGATTCCTCACAAGAGCTGTCAGCTGAAAACTTCCAAACTTCTTCCAGGTATTCCCAAAATTTCAGGTAAGAGCAGCAGCGGGGAATTTCCACCTCAGCTCCTGGAGGAAAGGTGTGTCACAAAGTGCTGTCCCACGATTATTTCCCCACTGGAAATGTGGATTAATGAAGGAGGAAGCCAGAAAACACCAAAATTTGCATTAAACTTCTTGGACCGAGTTCTTCTCCCCAGWTTTATGAATCACCACCACTTCTTTATGCATTTTTTTCTGTAATCTTGATCCATTCYACACTTTAACAAAAAGCATTGTGCCATCAACCCTGTCCCTGTCTCRCCATAAGGAAATGTTTCCTGCCAGCCCTGCAAGAGGGGCTGATGAAATCCTGTTTTCTCACTGGAACTCCTGTCCACAAGGAATAAACATTCCATTAGTAGTGCTTTCTCCCTCATTTGCSCTCATTAAAAGGTAATTTCCTTTTCTATCCCGAAAATGGAGAATAATGGCAATGAGGCAAGCGAGATGATGATTTTCCTTTGCTGATGAGCTCTTTGTGAAGGTGAAAAGGGGAAACTTGTGTTCCTCAGAGAGGGGCAGGGTACACCAAGTCACACCTGAGCCAGCAGGGACAGGGCTGGCCCTTGCCAATTCCTGCTCCTCCAGCACGTGGGATTTGCTATTTTCCCATCAGGAAGGGCACAGGGAAGATCAGCCCAGCACATTTGGCTTTAAAAAGGAGCTTCCTGAACTCTGAGAGAGGAGGGAGAGGCAGAATTGAGGAATTGTGGAGAACTCCATGAAGGAATCAGAAGGAAACCCTTCTTGAGGGAAAAACCAGGGTGAAGATGAGACAGGGACTGTTCTGGTTTCTCAAACAAGCCAAGAGAAAATAAAACCAAGGTAAAGCACAAGCAGAGCAGCCCTGAGCCATCCATCAGCCCTGGGATCAGGATGGCAGCTGGGACCATCAGGACAAGATAACTGGATAACCCCCAAGGAGCAGGAGTCAGGACCTGTTTTGTAGGACCAAATTGCAGAGTTATTCGTAAAGAAAATTCTCCTCCCTCAGTTTCCTCGAAATCTTCAAACCTGTTAAAAAAAAACCTTCCTAAAAATACAAAATATTCAGATGATGTCATTTCCCTGGGCCTGGAGGARCYGTGGCTGTCCCTGGATCCCTGGAAGKGTCTGAGGCCAGGTTGGATGGGGTTTGGAGTGATCTGGGATAGGGAAAGATGTCCCTGCCCACAGCAGGGGCTGGGATGAGATGAGTTTTAAAATCCCYTCCWACCCAAACCAGTCTGGGATTCCATGGTTCTGTGGTTGTATGAGATGGCAAGGGAAGAATGCTGGAAACGCTCATCAAAAGTGCTTCAGACAGAAAAAACCTGAAATTCTCTTATGTATTGCTGAATTTTAATGGAATTACATTGGTGAAGAGAAAAAAAAAAGAAAGTGTTCGGCTGTAAAGGGCACTGGAATCACTGTGGGGAGCTGGGCACAGCCTTCAAACAAAGGTGTAACCCAAAATAAACAGGTTATGGAAAATCTCTGGGAACCAGCTCCCAGCAAACAGCAATGARTTGGGAAAGCTGTGTTTGTTCTGTTTGTGGAGCTGCGAGGAGGTGAAGATGAACTGAATAAATGAGATCTGATTAAAGATTCCAGCACCTTCCCCATGGCCGGGGAAACGGGGCACAGCCAGGGTCAGATCCCCCATCTCAGCCTCCCACCTCCCCAAAAAAGGAGTTTCCTGCTGTTTTCACAGACTGGGTGCTGGGGGGGAAGCTCTCACCAGAAGGGTGGTGCCCTGGGAGATGGAGGGTTCATCTTATCTGTCCACAAACCATTGTGAAATTCTGAACTGCTGAGAAAAGCGTGGACAGCTTGCAGAATTTGTSCTCTTGCAGCTGCTGGTTGTGCTGTATCCTCGTGGCAGGCAAGAAAAATAAGCAAATACAGCAGAAGTTGTGAAACAGGAGTTGTAAAATAGAATAGAAGTTGTAAAAGATAACAGAAGTTGTGAAGGGTGACAGAAGTTTTAAAATGCAAAACTGCTACGGAGAGTCCCTAGCAAAACTCACGCCTTAAAATAAAATATAGAAAGGAGTATTTATACACTAAATAATATTAATTATACAAATTGCCAGCCAGCCCAATCCCTATTTCCAAGGATTTTTTCTGTTTTTGGCAGATGTTCATCCCAGTGCCCCCGGGTGGGGAGGAGAGCACTGGGCTCTCTTCCCTGCTCCATCCCCAGGTGGGAAGAGCAGCACTGGGAATTTCAGCTGCTTCATCCTTTCTCAAGGATGAAGGGGAATGGCAGAGCTGTTGTGGGACAGGCAGGGAACCCTCCTGGTGATCAGGAGCTGAGGCAGCCTCTCTGCCTTTCATGCCCTGTTTCCACAGCAGGCACGGGATGGGAATTGCAGCGAGATTCCTGTGGCTGCCGATGGATCCGTTTGCTGCTCTCCACCAGGTAAAGCTCCTCTGCTCCTCTGAGGAAAACCCTCCAGAGGGGAGAACTTGGCTCCATCCCCACGTTCTGCCTGGAGAACAACGAGGAGAGGGAGCACCACGTCAGCTGTGCCAAACCCTGGCAACGCCAACACAAACACGGCCAGGATAGCCCAGTCCAGCCGTGCCAGGGACAGCCTTTCTTCCCTCACTGCTTTTCCCTCGTGGAGAACCTGTGCTGGCACCCAGACAGSTCCAGGATCGCTCTCTGTGATCTGTTCCAGCTCTGTTCTTTGTCTGAGGAAGTGTCTGGGAAAGCTGAACTGTCTCCATCAGTTTTTCCAGACAGCTGAAAGTTAATGGGTGCCACGATGGGAGTGAGTAATGCTTGTGCAACCGGCTCTGGGGAAGTTGCCCAGCAAAACAAAATCCCGCGGGCCCGGCTCTGACGTGGAGCCCAACACGGGGCKCTCTGTATAAAAACCAGGAATTGATCCAAGGCAAACGGCACACTGCAGCTCTGCTGGGACACCACTCACAGTGCAGGGATGGAGAAAACTGTCCCTGGATGCTTCTTCCAGCAAATGTGAGTATTTTTCCTTTTCTGCTAAGGAATAGCACTTGGTTACAGTTGGGTTATTCAGTGCTAATCTGCCTTTCTGATTTGTTCTTCTCTTCTCTGCATTCTTTGGCACCATTCCAGAAGTCATTTTTTAAAGGGATTACTTGTTTAAGAGGAGGAGGGATTTTTGGGTACCCCTCAGTTTACAACACTGTACTGATGACAAATGAGAAGTTATTATTAACTGGAATCTGGCAAGTGTGTCAGGAGAGACTTCTATGGAGATAAAAAAAACGGCACACTGAAAACACCAAGTGTTGGTTCAGGAAACTTCTTGTGAGCTTGAACTGAGATTTCATCTGACCAAAAACTGTCCAAGTGTCCCTGTCCATGTGCAGGAATCTCCTGTGAGTGACYTGAACCACAGACCACATGAGCTGTTTGGGAAACTGTAAATAAATGAATGAAGATCAGGTTTCCTCCTTCTTCAAGGAGTGGGGCCATTCTGGAAACTTTCAGGGAACAGCTCCTGTTCCAGTTCCAGGAGTGATCCCACCTGCCCAGGTGCAGGCAGAGGGAAGGGTTTGCTCTCCTCTCACCAGATCTCTCAGTGGGACTCAGATTTCCCAGCTGGAGGGAAGCTGTGGATGGAGCTTGGCTGAGCCACACTGGAGAAGCTTCAGCCCTTGTGTGTGCTCTCTTCACCCAAAATTACCTTTCTCTTACCTGTGCAGAGACTGTGTCTGATTTGTGATGTGCCCAGGGCTCTCTCTGGCACCGATTTGGCCACAGGAGCAAGGATGGTGCCCTCACAGCATCCATGTGAGATGGGCAGCATTCTCCCATGAGGGGACACTGCTTTGGCAGTGCCAAAACCCTGCCAGGGGCCACCCCATCTCTCCATGGACAGAGCTCCAGCACCTGGAACATCTCCCAGCTCTGCTTTGTTCACAGGAGCAGATGGATCCAAGCAGCACCCGGAGTATCTGGAGCTGGGGTGGCTCTTCCCTGCCAAAAATGTGCAAGTGCCTGTGGTGACCCACGGGGCTGCTCCTGATCCCTGYCCCCAGCCCGGGGTGTCACCTGCTGTCTCAAAATCTGCGCCCAGATTCCTTCAGAGGCACGAGGAGATAAACATCTCAACCCCCTGAGGCGAAGGAGGAAATCAAACCTCGCTCTGCCGCATTCTGGATGCCAGTTTTAACCYCTAAATTATGGTGTGGGAGGGGTGGAGGGAGCAGGAGGGAGCCCTGACAGYGATCCTGCCTGCAGGGACAGCCCTGGAATGAAGGGACAGACACCTCTGGGTGTCACAACACAAAGGGGGAAGGCATTTTCCAGCCAGGAACTCCAGTTCCTGTCCAAAGGATGCTGTGGTGTACAGAAGAACGCTGGCAGCATTGTGGAAAACGCTGAAGTTTCAATCAGAGGATGTGAGAAACACCCTGAGCTCCTCAAGGTCTGGCCCCGGGCACCTCCTCCGGCTTCTCCGGCTGCTCCTCATTCCTAACGCTCCTCCTTGGACTCATCACCAAACCCTGGGTCAGGCACGACCCAAAGTCCAGAAGCTCTGAGTTAAAAAGCTCCACATGGACGAGACCTGCTGTAAATTCAGCCCTTGGGGGTCATGTAATGAGCAAAGATCTTTATCRCGGCCTATAATTCATCTCCTCAAAAAAAATAATTAATGAACATGGACACAGAAAAAGGTGGCAAGAAAAAAAAATAACAACAGAACATTCTTAATGTACCTTTTCAAAAGAGGTAACGAGGTAAATCAGGATTGAAGATAATGAGATAAATCAGGATTGAAGATAACAAGATAAATCAGGGTTCAACTGTACCTGCCATGGATTGGTTCTCCTCCACTCGGAGCTGGGGACTTGTTGGAGTTCCACATTGTGGATTCAGGGTTTGTTCCATTATATCTGAATGTCTTTGGTGCTCTGTATCAAAACAAAGGGCCAAACCAATCATGGAGTCATTAACGACCTCTAAGATCATTTGCTTTTGCCACAAAATGCAGAATCATTTTCCCACTTAATTACTGTGGGAGATGAGGGTTTCTCCTCATTACTGAGGATGAGCAGACTCAGCTGAAACACGGTGAGAAATTCTTCCTACTTCTTGCCCAAAGTATTCCATCAGCAGGTTGGATCAGACACTTAAATGACAAAGCAGAGCAGGCACATGTGAATCTCAGATGAGTCAGCCTGGCATCAGTCAAGTCTCTATAAAAAAATGGGAATCCCAGTCTCAAAAAGCTGGCTCGGTACCTGTCATGGGAATMTCCCAGGATTAGCATTTCCCCATCAATCCAGCAAAATTAAAACCAGGTGATGACTAAATCAACCACCCAGACCTGCTGGGTAATGCTCTGTGAAAGCTCTGCAGCACCAGCTCCAAGGTGCTGACATTGGGAATTCTGAGAATTTGCACAAGGAGAGAATTGCTCAATAGGAGAGAAATGGAATTGTTACACTCGGCTCAGTCTGAGGCTCAGCCTCCCTGGAAATCCTTCAGAGACATCTTTTTTGAGCTGTTGGCCTCAAAACAGATCACACACCTCAGCCAAGGCTTAAATTCTGCTGAGTTCATTCTTGCAGCTCATGAGAACCACAAAGTGTGAGATCTCTGCAGAGTCCCACCTGACACATCATTCCTCAAATTCCTGAGAACAAACCTTCCTGTGGTTTCCCATCCAGCTGTGCATGACTTCACCATAGTTTCACCTAGGCTGCATTTCTTACCTTGCTCCTCCCTAAAAATGCCTCATGAAACAATATTGAAACTCTTCAGAAAATTCAGGCTATGTGACACTTGCTGGCTGCCGCCAGGACTGATCATTCTGCTGCAGGAGGAAGTTGGGCTCAGTCAATTTGCTTTATCTGTGAGAAACCCACATTGTTCTCTCTTATCTCCTCCCTCCCATTTAGATAACAATTTCCTTGTTTATTTATTAGAACTGAATTTGTAGATGATTTTACTGTTTTCTAGGAACCACAGTTTATCATTGTCTGGCTCCTCCCTTTCACCCTTTCAGTGAATATCACACCAATTATGCTGCCACCTAAAAAAATCCAGGCACTTTACAAATTTTACTCCTGTTTAAGATATGAGTGTGTAAATAAAAGCTCAGACCCTGAGCTAGCATCATYTCCAGCCAGTTCTGAGCACTGGAATGTGCCTGTTCAAGTGCAGGTCCATCATAATGGACTGGATGGAATCCATCCTGCTCATTTTACATTTAATCACTGGGGGTTTCTTTGCATGTATTGCAGGTATTCCTCTCTGGCTGGCATTTCAATGGAGAGAGACCACATGAAAGACCTCAGGAGGTACCTGGCACTGAAATACATCCAATACCTCGTGCTGTCCTCCTCCAACGCCGTCAGCACGCTGCTGGGGCTGCTGGGCAGCGCCTACGCCATGATCCTCCTGCAGTCTGCCAAGGTCTCCTCCAAATCCACCRCAGTCCTCATTTCCAGCCTGGCCCAGGCAGACATCCTGGTTTTCCTCAGCTTTGTTCTTGACGTGGTTTTGGGGGGTTTTGGTGCTGTTGTTTCCCCCGTGGGCTCGGCGCTGGCGCGGACGCTGCTGACAGCCAACGCTCACCTGAGCTGTGTCCTGCTGAGCTGTGTGGCCGTGGAGGCGTACCTGATCACCTTCCTGCCAGCACAGTCACGGCCCCTGAGGACAGTCAGCAAGGCCAGGCTGCTGGYCAGGGTGCTCTGGACGCTGGTGGCYGCAGAGTGTGCCCTGTTCCTCCTGGATGAGCACCTGAGTGCTGGTGGCCCCTCCGCTCCCTCTCACAGCGTTTTGGGGCTGCTGCTCCGGCTCTCCAGCTCGGCTGCTGCCCTGCTCAGGTCCCTCAGCTACATCCTGGGCATCCTGCTGAGGATTGTCAACGTCTACATCTACTACAAGATCTTTTTCAGCCTGTCTCCCAGGTCTAGGCTCAAATCCAAGTAGGGCACGTTCCTCTGGGAATCCTGGAACGACACAAAACCCTTGGRCACAATTCCAAACCAATGGAAACTGCTCCGTAATCAGGACCAAGGCTCGCCCTGGAGCTGCAACCTTCATCATTCCTGGTGAGGAAAGAATTCTGAATCCTCAGCTGTTACTGAGAGGAGTTTGGGGCTGAGGAGTCTCTTGGCATCAAGAAAACGCAGCTGCTGTGTCTTTATTGAGACTTYATTCACCGTACAGGTGAAACTACAGACTTTTCACGGTTGGAAATCAACCCCACTATTTTTTAYATAAAAAGGGTGCTTAAAGGCTTCCTCAGGGATCTGTTGAGCTGAGAGTTGTGTAGCTGTTTAACAAAGACAGGATCTATGTCCTAAAATATTCCTAACCCAGGTGAGCCCTGGTGGGGTGGAGTCCTTGTGCCATTCCCAGCTCGTGGCCGTGGCGCCAGCAGCGAGTGCTCAGTGCTGACTCTGCTTCTCAGGAGACTTGAAAGGAAGCTCAGCCAAGGGCTGGGGATCAGCAACAACGGAGCAGAAATGTAATCAAGTCAATTAAACCCTTGGATGAGCGTTGCCAAACACCGCTGATCCTGTCAGCAGGAAGGACGGATGTCCTAATAACTTGATGCTCTGTGATAACCTGTTCTTGCTCCTGGGGCCTGAAGTGAGACACTCCCAGRAGAGATGAAGTGTTACTTGAAGTGCTGTAATTAATAAAAATCTATTTTGTTAAAGCCTGGGCATTATTTATGTATTTTTGCTGAGCTTAGAGAGATCTAGAGGAGATGATTACTTTGTTACTGCCCACACKGGCAGGATTTTTATTGCGAATATTTAGACCACATTTAGCTGGCAAAGAGGGGCAGAGAGAACCCAGAGACAGCGGGGGATGTCCTATCTCCCGTCCTATCTCAGCAAATTCAGACTTGTGCTGCTGTGCAGTTCCTGGCAGCTGGTCCCTACCAGCCCCACTTCTGATCACCTTCAGCGAAGGAGAGGAAACAAAACCCTGCACAGGATGATCAAACTGATAAACAAAGAGGTTCCCCTGTCAGCAGAGAGCCACCAGGGAAGACCCAGGGGTGCTGCTGGTTTTGCTGTGCTGCTCATGGGTGCTGGGGGAGAAGCCTTTCCTGCCTTCCCCAGGGCCAAGAGCTGCTCTGTGCTCACCCAGCAGCGAGGGGAGGGAGTGATTTCCCAGGAGAATGAGCAGCTTTGGCTTTTCCCTGGGCTGGTGCCACCTCTGCACGTGGAAGAGCTCAGGCTGGACTGGGTGATCTTGGAGATCCCTGCAGCCCTGGTGATTCTCTGATGGCCCAATGTCCCTCCTGGCAGCAGGTGAGGTTGGTGGCAGTGGCTGAAAGGGAGGGAGATGCTCCACAAATTCGGGGACAGAACACGAGGCTCTGAGAGATCTTCATGGCTGGGACACCCAAAGCACTTTGCAGTTGAGGACAGACCCTCCATTCCCTTTGTTCTCATCCTCACATTTCCACATCCTTGAAATAAAGAGGGCTTCTGCACAGCTCAGCTAAAACACACGAGCTATTTTTATTTTCCACACGAGCTATTTGGATATGATTCCCTGAGTGGTTTTGGCTGGCTCCTGGTGGTTGATGTAGCTGTGGCTGTGGGGTCAGGTCACTCTGCAAAAGAGCTCAGAATCTGCCTTTGCCAAGGGGAATCACAAAATCACATAATTGTTTGGGTGGGAAGGGACCCTTAAAGTTCATAATCCATCCCCTGCCTTGGGCAGGGTCACCTTTCCCTACCCCAGGTTATTCCAAACCCCAGGACCTTTCCAGGGATGGGGCACCCACAGCTTCTCTGGACAGTCTGTGTTTACCTTGGAGCTATTTCCTCAACCAAACCCCCCATCCATCCTCTCCAGGGCCACAAAAACCTTTTCAGGGGGGCAGGGAGAGGCACCCACCCCTCTGCAGCAGGAATTTGGGACATAGCTGGCACGGTGCAGCTGCAGGATGGCATTTCCCTCTCACAGGAGGCTCTCCCAGGACATCGAATTTGTGTGAACTTTGCCTCTTGGAAGAAYAGTGGTTCAGATTTCATTGCTTTTGAGTGAGTGTCAGCCAGGATTTGTATCACTGCAGCAGCACCATATGAGCAGAAAGGCGAAATAAAAGAAATTTTGGAATAGATAAATAATGGTGCCCAAAAAGGGGAATTCCCATGTGATAGGAATGGCCAAAAAAAAATCCTTAAATTATACAGCTGAGGTTACACAGCRTGTTTACCTTACTCACTAATTGAGGCAAGAAGGGAAACTTTGTCCTACTTTTGCTGGGAAGCTTCATTCAAAGAAAGTTTGATAATCCAGGGAAAGGAAAGACTCAGACAGGAAGATATTTTTCTACAGCCAAGTCATTTTTAGAGATGATTTTTCTGGTAATGCAAACACTTGAATTCAGACCTCACACAACCCGCACAGCAGATTGAACAGAGACGATGGATTTGCTCCCTGCAGTAAAAAAAAAAAAAAAAAAAAAAAAAATCAAGTTGTTAGAAAGCATTGAATGTTCTTGGGAAATGCTCTTTTGAGATCCACATTCTGGAAAATCAGGCGTAATTTGGTTTCTTCTAAAAGATGACCGGCTCTATTTCCTCTAACTCACAGCTGTTTCTCCAAACGCCGTTCGAAGGAGCTCCGGRGCTGTTTAATAACGAAACCAAGCGCTCTCGGAAGGTGTTTGGGAGCGGACACGCCGTGTTTGGGGGGTTCTGCTCCTGTTCCTGTTTGCGGCATCATTCCCGGAATCGCTCCTGCCCGCGGATCGCGCTCTCCTTTGCGCATCGTGCCCTCTGCTGGGAGAGACACGGATCCAGCCAGCCCCAGGGAAAATCCTGCTCTGCTCGGCAYCAGCCGGGGGTTTGGGACAGGCACAGGGCAGGGGGAATTAATTTAGGGTGAAGGAGGGAAGGGTTGGATGGGATATTGGGAAGGAATTGTTCCCTGTGAGGGCGGTGCCCAGAGAAGCTGTGGCTGCCCCATCCCTGGAAGTGTCCAAGGCTGGCTGGACAGGGTTTGGAGCAACCTGGGATAGTTAAAAGTGTCCCTGCCCASGGCTTTAAGGATGGGCTTTAAGGTCCCTTTCCAAGGGACGAGYCTGTGACCCCACACTGTGGCAGCAGATCACAGCCAGCTCCATACCTGGTCCCCAAATTTCCCCTTTCAGCAGCSCCCTCAAGCCTGTGCCCAACATTTCCCCTTATTCAGACCTGGTTTTGGGGTCTCTCCCTCGCACATTCGGTGCAGCTGAGCCGAATGAATCCCCCGGGGCTGTTTATCCACTCCTTTACCCCCAGGATGGTTTGAGCCAGGACAATCGGGGTCAGCCAGAGCCCTGCACGGCTCTGAAACCCTCTGGCCCAGGCTCTGGCCCCGCTGCAGGGATCCTGGACTGAAATCTCACAGGATAATGGATTCTGGATGGATATCTCACAGGATAATGGATTCTGGATGGATATCTCACAGGATAATCAGGGAAAACAGGATTGTGAGTGCAGGGCTGGCTCCAGAGGCTGTCCCTGGAGAGCTGAGCTTTGTGTTCCGGCACACAGGACTGCGAGGATGTGACAGGGATGGACAATCGGGGGTGACACATTGAACATTTYGATTCCTTCCTGCCCCTCACACTGACCCCCACGTTTTCCTGAAATCAGGCTGGACAGGCATCCAGACCAGAAGCATCTGCTTCTCCTTTCGGCGTCAGCRGAGTAAATAAATCGCATTTGTGATGTTTGGATTCCATAAATCTATTGCTCTTGGCTTTTCCCTGAGCGTGCTGGGGAGCAGAGGGACGCAGTGCCGGGCTCTGATGTGTCTCCAGGCACACGGCAGTTTGTTTACAGAGCCTGCTGACCATGGGGCAGTGTGGGACCCTCGCAGGAATTGTCATTTCCCCCCGCCGGAACAGAAGCCGGAGCTCCCGGGGGCTGCAGTGCCCGCTCGCCACTGGCCACGGTTCTGCTGGAAAAGACTTCACTGGTGACCGATCCACCCCTCTCCATGGGCAGGGATGCTTTCCACTAAACCAGGAATCATCCATCTCCTTTCCCCGCTCCCCCAGCCCAACTCGTGCTGCTGCCACGGTGGGGAGCCAGAATCCTTCGGGAGAGGGAGGGATTGTCCGTGCGGCACAGCCCGCTCCGCAGAGAGGGATAAATCCCTCCTGGAATTTAGAAATGAAGACCTGGGACACCCGACCTCCTGTCAGCTTCGAGCCCTGGCAGGAGTTTGCTCCTGTTTGCTGCAAASCTGATTTTTGGGAGGAAAACCCAGCACCTCACTGGTTTAAAACTCAGGAGGTACCAAACAATCATTTAAAAACTGATTTTAGTTAATTTCTCTTTTTTTTTTCTTTAATTTTTTTTTAAACAGTGAGGTAGGAATCTTTACTCCCTCGACTTTGCTGGGTGAGCCATGAAAACTCTCGTGCTTTTCCCCCAAGGATTATTAATGGACATGAGAACACTGAAAAAAGGCATTTTCCTTGTAAACACAGTGGTTTGCTGGAATTCACTCCAGGACAGAACCCCCACTCAAGMAAAGAGGTCACACTATAAGCAGATACTTTACCATAGTTTACATTTTCGGATGGAGGAAGGCACAGAAACGCAGGAGATTTTCCTTTGCCTGCTAAACAAAACCAGGAGATGTAAATCCAGGTGGACACTGACCTTGGGCTCTGCTTAGGGCTGGTTTGGGGATCTTCAGGGCTTGGGGACCTCCAGGGCTTGGGGTCCTTGAGGCTTGGGGTCCTTGATCCCACCTGGCCCAAATTCTGCTCCTTTTTACTTTCCTTAAAATCCTCTTCTCCTTGTAGACATCAGAGACCTGACCTGGCAGATTTTTTCCAGTCTCCTTCCTTTAAGATGGGCTGTCTGCCCAGGTAATTCAGARGAAAAGAAGAAGGAGGAGGAGGAGGAAAAAGGGATGCAAATCCTATTTTCCCTCTGGGCTGGAAGGTGGATTATGCTTCAGACCACTCCACCTGATCCTGGGAATATTTTCTGCYGAATAAAGGCCAATCTTGGGGCTCCAAACCTCACTGTTGATCACCTACAGGAGAAAATGCACATTTTTTTCTGTTCTGTGGCTGATCTGAGGTGCAGGACAAGCTCAGCCCCAGGAACACAGAGAATCTGCAGTGTGCAGGGTTGTTATTCCACAGGTGAGCTTTGCCCAAGGAGATCAACAACAAAGAAATGGAAAAACATCAAAAGGAGAGAGGTTTTCTGCGAAGGAAAAATTTTCTGCTTTTTTTTTCCAAGGAGGTTGCAGTGAGAATGAGAGGGAGGAGGCRTCAGGAGCCTCGTGGAGCTGCTGACCTTGGATCCAGGCAAAATCTGCTCCTCGCTGAGGTCAAAAGTTGTATTTGCTTTTGAGAAAAGCCTCGGAGCTGCGGCTCCTTAATCCAAGAGCAACAATCCCGCGTGTCTTGGGGAGGAGGGAGATTTTGGGCTGAGAGTGGGATGGAATAAYTGCAGCCCCCACTCGTGCACCCCCTCCCAGCGGGGTGAAGCTGCCAGGACCTGCCATGCCCGAACTCTGAGATTTTTGTGCCGGTTGGTGCCAAAAGCCGAGGAATCTGGGATTTCGGACACCAGGGATGGACCCTTGACCACAATGAGCTGCTCTCCCGGGAATCCCAGGGCTCCAGAGGTGGATCCTGGGCTCAAAAACTGAACCACAGCTTGGGTTCTGATTGCTCCAAGGGCACAGAGGAGGGGCTG